TTGTAGGCAAGCTCAGGAGCGGCGTAAGGAAGCGATACTGCCTACGGTGCTTGATTTCCTGGGGAAATCAGGAGCTGAACTGACTGTGGATCCAGCCAGGAACAGGATCTGGAGCTGCTGTACCCTCCCTATTTGCAAGAGCTGCCAAATTTATTTGAGAGGAATACGATGGTGGATGAGTATTGGCTTCCATCTGTGTAATGAGGGGTCTTGTAGACCACCAGAAATGTAGATGGAGGAAGAGGGACGGATGGATGGATGGATGGATGGATGGATGGATGGATGGATGGATGGACAAATGGATGCAAACTCAAGTTCATTGTGAATTATGCCGTTGTTCAAGAGCAGTGTGGATACCTGTGATGTTTGCTTCTTCCTTTGGATTCTGAGAATGCCTGTGTTGCTCATTGAAACATCCATCGTTCCACATTTCCACTTGAATCTCTCATAGATAAAAGTCTCCTGTTCCAAAATGGACAAATGAATGTTTCTGGCCAGTCTTTGCAGGGTCAACTGGGCTTAAAAAAGTAAAAAAAAAAAAAGAAAAAGAAAAAGAAAAAGACTTAAAACCAAACCAGCCTCCCCTGAACTCCATGGCTGGTGCTCACATTAGCATAGGCAATGTCCCCTGACATCCGGGCAGCAGGCAGGAGCATCTGTGCCGGAGGGCTTGGGGGTGTTGGTGGAGGAGGGAGGGAGGAAATCTGGAACCCATAAGCTCCACTGATGTTTGCGTTACCTTGCACGGCTGCATTGGTCTGTGCCTGGTCCGCCCACGGTCCTCCTCGCCCTATCAGCGAGAGCCCTTCCCCAAAGTTATTCCAACGCCCTCCTCTCCGTAGCCCAAAGGAAAAACCAACCCAGCTCCTTGGAGGGCTCCGCAAGGCTTGGGAAATTTGGGGAGGCTGAAGGGTCCATGGTCCAGGCTGCACCTCTTGAGCGGGCACTGGCTCCTCTCCAGGCCAACTTGCCCATGTGCTGTGGCCGTTGCGTCTCGTGAGACCCCAGAGCTCTTCACCTGTGAGGTGCTGAGAAGATGAAAGAGGAAAGCATGTGCCCGGACTCCCCCGAAGGCAGCCTGGTCACCAGCGAGGAGGAAGGTGAGAGGCTGCACAAGAAATGTCTCCGTAAACGTGGCCAGGGTGGCAAAGCCACAGAGGACTGCGGTGTCCCCTCGCCGCAGGGCAAGCGGAGCAAGCGCAGCCCCATCCCGCAATCCTTCGAGGACGTGCACACGCAGCGCGTGATCGCCAACGTGCGGGAACGCCAACGGACCCAGTCGCTCAACGACGCCTTCGCCGAGCTGCGCAAAATCATCCCCACGCTCCCCTCCGACAAGCTGAGCAAGATCCAAACCCTCAAGCTGGCCGCTCGTTACATAGACTTCTTGTACCAGGTCCTGCAGAGCGATGAGCTGGACCACAAGATCACCAGCTGCAACTACCTGGCCCACGAGAGGCTCAGCTACGCCTTCTCCGTCTGGAGGATGGAAGGGGCTTGGTCCATGTCCGCATCCCACTGAGCCGGGGTATGTATCTCCACCTCCCCGCCGACACCTCTGCACGTCCCTTGCTCCTCCATCCTCCACCCAACTCCCCAGCTTGGTCCCGCGGGGTAAAGGCACCGCAGCCGTCCCCTCCTCGCGCTCCACATGCAAACGATTTGCTTTAACGAACCCCAGACGCTGGCAGTTGGAGGAGATGGTGATTCCCAACCTCACCGGGGCCGGGAGAACGTTGTAGGGGGTCAAGCAATGGAGCCCTAAAGCCACTGATCTCATTTAGCGGGGTCTGCTCTGGGGCAGCCTCGTGAAAGGTTTAAAACCAGAGCTTAAAAATCTGATTTATCCTCCCACAGTAACCCGGGAGGGCACATAAATCAGCAGACACCCTCCTCAATGTGCGTGGGTTACCAAGGTGTCAAAGCCACACGAGCGAGCCCAGCAGTAGCCCCGTGGCCATCGGCCACCGGCTGCTCTTGGTCCCACCATCCAAAGTGCCCAGCCTTGTCCTTGTCACCCGGGGTGAAATTCAGCAGCCGTTCCCCAAAGCCATTGGTAGCCTTGGAGCCTCCAGCCTGCCAGGCTTCCTCGGATCCGTCTCCTAAAGCTCTGCAGATGAGGTGGGATCCATAATCCCTTTGGATCTGTAGGGATCCCTACAGCACAGGGAATAAAACATCGAGTGAGGACACCGGGACAGCGAGGTTTGCTGGTTCCCTGTACCTCAGCCCCTTGTTTGATGTACTCAGCACCATCCAGCCACCACCTGAGCATCCTTTCCACCACCTCAAGCTGCTGAGAGGAGAGGGGAATGATTCCATTTTCAGTGCTTTAAATAATTTAATTTTCAGTGCTTTCAATAATCCTGTTTTCAGTGCTTGAGGGTTGGGTTGGGAGAAAGGGGGAATGGGAGGGTTCAGATACGAGCTAACATTTCCTACAGCCCATGAGCAGAAAGCTCTGAAGGACATTCCCAAGCTGTGAACTTCAGGGATACTTCACAGGAGACCAGCCCAGTTCTCTGTCCCCAAGGACAGAAGTCTTGTCCCCAAAACAAGATCTTCTGGCTTTCCTCGGGCACAGACTCCTCAATCCCTGCCTTGTGTTGGCAGAGAAACCGCTGGGGAAGCCAACTCTGGAAGGACTCCTATTTTTCTTGCACCCACCACTAAGGGCTATAACATGGAAAACCCTTTTAATCTTATTTTCTGCCAGCAGTTGGGGTCAACCTCATGCACCCTCCTCATGTGCCATTTCTCCTCCTGGCTGGTCCTACTGTGGCCCCGATTCAGTGCCGGGACCTGTGTGTCCTGTGTGTCTGTATTTAGAACACGAGAGAGTCCAGACCCCGCGATGAGAAGCGCTGAGTGGGTGCAAGACCCTAATTAAAGCCACGCTGAGCCCTGGCTGGGGCAGGGGCTGGTCGATGGCACAGCCCGATGTGACAGCACCGGTCACCTCCTCAGCACGGGCACAGCCTGGTGAGGACGATGGGTTCTCAGTGCCTTTGCCTTCAGCACAAAAAAAATCCTGTTCTCCACCCTGCTCTTGTACTTTGAAAGCCAGAGGGTGCAGGGAAGGGAGGAGAGTGGCCTTTCTGAGACAAAATAAACCACAACAAATTCCTACCAAGTGGCCCAAGTGATGGGGACACTCTGCCATGGCTGGTGGCCCCTCCTGAGCATCACTGACCCTCCTGCCTTTGGTTTTTGCCACGTACAGCCCTGAATTTCAGGGCAGATTCACAGAAATAGGTGCAGCCACCGGCTAAAGGTGTCGTCCAGCTCCCAGGAGGTTTCATTTAGGGATGTCCCACCTCGAAACGCTGGTTTTCCTGCAGACCTTGCCAAGATCTTTTCTCACCATCACAAAAGCTGTTTATTTTCTAAATCTGGGTATAGATTTCAATCACTTGGGGCAGACCTGGGTGTTTAAAAAATGATTTTTATATATTGGAAATATGAAAAAAAGGAAAGGTTGTCCTTGCTGGAGGCAGGACCACTGCCCTGTAGCCGTGTCCAGGTGACACTGGGGACACTTTCTCCTTTGGGATGTCCTGAAGCAAAATCTCTGGTTATTTTTTTTTCACTTCAAGAAGCCAAAAAGCTGCCAGGGACAGTCAGGATGCTGACCCCCCCCCCGAGCAAAGCAAGCCCATGAACTTCCCTCATCTTCTTCGGGGCATCACAATTTGCAGCCCTGGGAGTTTTCCCATGTCTCCTGGGTTATCCTGTTTTTGGGAAGTGCTGGGGATGGCTCTGCCCCACTCCTGGCTTTGCAGGAGACGTGGAACCAGCCCGGCGAGAGCGCGGCATGTTTTGGTGGATGGTTTTTAAGAGCTCCAGCGTTGTGCTGTGCTGATGAAGTCCACGCTGATGAGCTCTGCACCTCATTAAAGCCCAGCTAAAGGCATTTTCACCTTGGGGAGGTGGGAGATGTGGGGTTTTGAGACCCCTCCCCATCACCCCCAGACTCTCAGCACACGTGTTTCTGCTCCCGGTTGCGTGTGCGGGCTGATGTGCAGCTCAGCGTCCGGTCATTGACTTGTAGACCTGTTTATTTAAGCCGAGTGCTTGGCAGGAATTGTGTTCCCATGATAAACAGAGGAATTAAAGACCTTTAATGATCTTAAAGACCTCTCTGCTAAATGAAAAAGCCTCCGTGGAAAAATCCCTCATGTCCTATGAGCGTGGTCCTCTCATCACTGCTGGTTAATATTCATCCCGAGCGGCTCCGGTTCTTGCCTGGCAGCAAAGCATCCTTCACCTGACTAGATCAGCATCTGCTCTGTGCCAACCTGCAGCTGCCTTCGGGTACAAATTAGCAATTCCCAGTTGGGTTGGGAAGTAACGGGAGGAGGAGTTGTAAAGGAAAGACTTAAAAAGAAAAAAAAAAAGAAAAAAAAAAAGAAAAAAAAAAGAAAAAAAGGAAAAAAGAAAAAAAAAAGGAAAATAAAAGAAAGAAAAAGGGACCAGCCCCAGGGGATGAGATGCCCGAGTTGGAGAAGCCACGTCTCTCGCTCTCCCGTAAGTGAATTAACCCGGCGCTTGCACTGGGACTGTAATTTTAGAATCTAAAGCAGTTTAATGGTTGCTGCGAGCGCCGCCGTACTGGTCTCCACTGGAACCCAGCTTATTAAATATCAAAGGGTGCTGCTTGGAATAGCTGGATGTGGATCTACCCTTGTTAACCAGGAGACATCATCCGGGGGAAAGAGGGATTGAGCCCTCGGGCAAGAAAAATAATGTTTGAAGTCCGTCCCCCCCCTGCCCAGCTCCCAGGTTTGCAGCCCAAGTCTTGAGCACATTAAAATGGATCCTTTTCCTGCTGGAGGAGAAAATGAGGTTGGAAGCTGAAACTGCTGGGGGGGGGAAAAAGGCTGTCGGAGTTGTGAGGGGTGATATTCCTTGCCCTTCATTTGTCTCCCTGGATTTATTGTCTTCCCCACGTTGCCCTCACTTAATTGTCTATCCTGAAAGACCTTGGATAAATCTTCCCGTTGGGGACTGTTGCTCTTGCTCGGAGTCTGCTTTGTCGGGTGGATGTTTCATTTTCTTTTATTTATAAATACATCTCGTTGCACAGTATTAAAGCACCGGGGTATTAAAGGGGTTTGGGGAGAGCTGCTTTCCCTATCTAGATCTGCTCAGTAAATGCATTTAAAACAGCAGCTGCTTCAAAAAAGCTCCCCGAGATCCCTCCACGGACTGGGAGGAAGCACAATCCCGTCCGGCTGAGCTGTCTTACCACCCTGGATCAGTTCTTTAAAAGTTGTGATGGGTTCATTCTCTCACTGCTGGTTAAACTGGTCACGGTGGTCCAGTACCCCCTGGCTGGGTCAGAGCCAGCCCAGGCTCCTCCTCAGCCAGGTCCAGGGGTGAGGAGTCGTGCTGGCAGGAACCATCTCGCTTTCACTTTTGGTTTGAGCTCCCAGAAGAGATGAGGAGTTGCCCAAATCCTGGGAAAACTGTGCCTGGGTGATTTTGCTTCTTTCCATTTGCGTCAGGGGTTCTGTTTGGTACCAGCTCTGCTCCATCCGTGTGCTCTGGTGGGATGATTCTGGGATTTGCTCTTTGTTCTGGTATGGAGAAGGTTTAGAGACCAGGAGTTTCCTCCAAAGGCTGCTGACTTCCCTGACAAGGGCAGAGCATTTGCCATGGCATCTGCAAGATGAGCAGATGGAAGAAGAGACATTTGGTGCCTTGAAGTCTCCAGCTTTGGTGTCCCAGAGCAGGAGGAGCTGCCTTAGGTGAGGGGTGGGGGGTTATTCCCCCAAATCCCAGGGTAAGGATGCAGGACCAGATGGGGTGAGGATGCTCAGTCCCACCACCAGCAGCTCACACAGTGGTGGGGCTGGCAGGGGACACCCCGACTGGTGGGTAGGACCAAGGGGTGGCATCGCCTTGGTGTCCCAGAGCAGTTCCCAGAGCCCAGCTTGGAGCAGGGAGAGTCACAGGCTGCCCAGCCATCCCCCTCCAGGTCCCTCAACACAAGAGCATCCAACACCAGAACATGTCAAAGGGGAACTGGAGCTGCCATTAATTTCACCCTCAGAAAAACCTTTTTATTTCAGCAAAAACTTCCCCCTTTCTATTAAAAACGGAAAAAACTCAACATCAAACCTGCCCCAGAGGGACCAGGCTCTTCTCCAGGGCAGGAAGGCAGGTTCTCAGCACTACTCAGATTCAGTTAAAATTAAAACAGAGAGAAAATTACAGAGCCAACCCTCCCGAGCATTGAAATGTCTGCTGGTTTACGATCCCCGCGAGGAGACGGGCTCACTCGATCCGGGCTGAGCCCAGAGGAATGTCTTTGAAACCAGCCCGTATTTCACCGCCGAATGTCACGGGAATGCACCTGGGATCTGGGGGGGAACGGAGGAGACGCGCTAACGAGACGGGCTTTGCATTTAATTTCCCTTTATAGGGCTGTACCTGAGCAGGGATGAGGGTGTTAATGCTGCGGAGGGAGGGAAGGGCAGTTGTCAGCCGGGGCGTTGAGGACGGGTGTGCAGAGCGATG